TTATATCGGCTTATTGTCAAACCCTTTCTCAAGAGTTGGATGGGGCTTTTCATGGCACGAGCCTAACCTAAACCCTCAACCCCGTCTGGCACAACCTTATGCTGTTTCGGAGACTGGCCATGTTACCTCGATGCCGAAACTTTTCACAGCCCTGTCCTTTGTGCCTTAAACCTGAGGGCTTGTGTGGATCATCCGCCGCTGCCAGGAAGGTGCTACCCAGCACAGCTGCTTGGCACGTGAGCTCAATTCCCTACTGCAGCCGCTTGCCTTCATAAGCCCTGAATCTTTGAGCCCAAAACATACAGGGAGGCGCGGGGAGGCAGCACATCCCTAAACTCCTTCCCCTTGGACCCGGAGATGGCCCCCTAATTCCCTTTTTTCTAGGCTACTCCTGGGGCTAAAGCCCCTGCGAAGTGTTTGGAGGTGCTTGAGGTGAGATTTGGGTTTTTTCTTGGGACGCAGGTTTCTCTGGGAGATGTTCCGTGTTGCAGTCAAACTGGTGTCATGCTTTTCAGCTTGTCCGCATTCAGGAACCTCTCAATGCCCCTCCCTCGCAAGTGAGTTGCCGCGATGGCCCTAAACCCTAGACCCTAAACCCTAAACCCACGGGTTTTACATTGGGTTTCAGTGCTTGAGGCGGACCCAACTCCATAGAAGTTTATGCTGCCCAAAATTTTTTCAATCCTCAGAGGCCCAGAGTCTGAAGATTCCCGGAACAGACGGGAGTTCAGGGATTCAAGTGTGCAGTTCTTGGGGGTCAGAGCTGAGTTTCATAAAGTAGGGCTCAGGTCATAGTGTCGGTTGATACATTTTTCCTGCGTCTTCTAAAGGCCTCATTTCGGGGTCGGAATAATTACTAATCGCATTTCCTTATGGCCCCTCTGTAAGTATACCACAATCGCCCCCCGGGACCCTATTCTAATTCTTAAGGCCCCCTAGAGTAGGCCCACTTAGATCCTTCCGGCCCCGAATCCTTGAGCTCAACGGCCGAAGACCGTGGCAAATGCGGCTACCCTAAACCCTCAACCCTAAACCCTCTAGGCTATCGGAGTAGAGCTCTCCTTGGTAAGATAGGGGGGGGGGGGAACCCTTAAAAGGGAACCCTTCTGAACCCTCTTCTGGCATTCTTAAAGAGGGACCTTGTTCAGAGGGTCTATATCCCCAAGGGTCCCCCCCAAGGGTCCCCCCCAAATCCTGTCCACTAAGCTCTAGGTTCCCCGGCTTCTTGTAAGCACAGGCTCCCAAGTATATAAAAGGGGGATCCTGGTCCGATTCTTTCTTTTCCTAGCTTCCTGAGGGTTTAGGGTTTAGGATTTAGGGGGGGGGGGGGGGGGGGGGGGGGGGGTGGCAATTCAGGGGCTCTTTTCTTCAAGTTGTGAGACTCCACTTGCACGGCGGGGCATGTGCAGTGAGCTTTCTGATATGGGTTTTCGAAATTAGGGGTACCTTATTGGGGTCCTTTACCTTTATTTCGAAGAGAATCCTACTATTCGGGGTTCTATATTGGGGGTCCCTTCTTTTCGTAAACCTCCATATGAACGGCACTGGCTCAGCTGATGCGACTCTCTGTAGCAGACCTGAGCGTCACACTGGTGCTCGGCCCAGGTGGTCTCATGGCCCACTTTTGGCAGAAGACATCGTTTACGCCGAAAGTTGCGCAGGCGTGCGCCCCCCCAAAAGCTTCATCAGCATGTCGCCAAGGCTCACGAGATCTCACGAGCTGTCACCTCCATACTCCCAGACCCCCGGAAAAGAAAGCATAATATCAGTGAGCACTTGGGACTTGGGGAAACTTACGACTATTCAATTGCAAGGCCTAAATTCACACGACAGTTGCCAGCAAATCTAGAGTGATGTTCAAGTCCTGAGCCAGGGTATGCAAGGGTGTGGTAGAGAAGAGCGAAGCACTGCAACACGACCAGGAGGTCACCAGCTTCATGTTCACGGAGGTGTGGAGGGCTGCTGAGTATTGTGGATTGCTGGAAATTGCGAGGATGCGGGTGGTAATTAGGTAGAAGGATCAGTCGCCACAAACACACCAAGACTTCAGCGCAATGGTTCGCACAGCCACGTGCACATCTCGGTCGCAGGGGAACCCTCCGAGCAAGCCTTTTCTTCACCAAGCATTCATACATTCGAGCAGGCAAAAAAGTTGTGGAACCAGTAGCGGCTTGATTCTTGTAAGAATTGCAGGGTGGTGGGAGGCTATTGCTAGGGCTCCAAGCACGTCAAGGCTTCTGCATCTTCTCTTTGCAGCAATTTGGATTAGATCTGTTGCAGCGAAACCCTCCTAAGCCCTAAACCCTAAACCCTAAGCCCAAAAGTCTGCATGCCCCCAGCCCATACCCATGACGCCTTTGTGAGGCAGACATGCAAGCCCCGGAACCTGACAAGGAGGTGGCACTGGGAGCTTTCAGGGTCGGCATGCTTCGCCCAGAGCCCGAGAGGGCAGCAAGCAGATCTGACCGGTGTGGCTGTACAAAAGGCAGTGAATATACATCTATCTACGTATAAATATGGAGATATAAGTGTATAAAGAAATGTATATATATATATGTATATATGCATATACTTAAATTTTAAATATAGAGTGGAGACCACCTTGCTCATTGGGTTCTGTCCCCAGTTCCTTGACACAGGGGCCACCCACAGTTCCCCACGCACGCTGGCAGCTTTCGAAGGCCTGAGCCTCAAACCCTTTTGAACCCCTATCAAACCCTATCAAACCCTGTAAACCCCATGTATAAACTCTATAAACATCTATAAATCCTATACAGCCTGCAAACGTCAAGACCCCTTGCTTGTTCCTTTTAACATCTGCAGGTACCAGCCGATTTGTCTCCTTCGGGGTCTTATAACGACACTTGGCAGAAGGGCGTTTGCGGTTCAGGGTTTAGGGTTTAGGGTTTTTTGTTTCAACCAGCTGCCATGCAGAGTTTGGGTTCAAAAAAGGGTTTATTGTTTCTGTCAAGCTGCCCCCCGAGACTTGCTCCGAGGTCTGGGAACAGGTCCACTTGTGACGGAAGCTTTGGGTGACCTTGCTAGACCCGATCACTAACTAGGATCGGGAGTAGGCCCTTTTTTCCCTTTTTTAGGGTTGGGGTTCCCTTATAATCCCCTTAAAACGAAAAAGGGCACCCTTTTATTCCTGGGTTACTCCCGGGTCTAGCTAAAGTACGGCCATTTTCCCCCTCAAATCTCTGGACCATCCTAGGTCTCTGAGCTGCTTAGAGGCTCAGCAGAAAGTCCCAAACCTGAGCACCGAGCACTCGCCCATCACCCCCAAGAGAGCCAGCAGGGGCTCCAAAGGAGGACCCCTTTTGGGGATCTTAGGGGTTCTTATGGGTTATTGGGGGCTTATGTAGAGGCTACTTAGGTATATAGGGACTCCATCAGGTATATGTGTAGGGGTTAATATAGGGAATCAGATTAAGGGCCCCCTTCAGGAACCCCTCCTTGTACCCCTTAACAGCAACCCCAAAAGGAGGATGATGAAGAGAACCAGCTGGGTCAAGCAAGGCTGAAATGGTGGGAGGCTGGTCATGGCTTGCTTGGGGCAGAGGGCGGAGGATCTTTATAGTCACTTCGGGGGCACACTGCAAGGTGGCACGAAACAGCGACCGTCCGATTTAGGGTTGCGGTGAAGCTCATGGGTTCTTCTAGCAGCAGATACATGGCCAATTCTCTGAATTCGGGCCCCTTTTGAGCGATCTTTCAAGAGCCTCTTTCAGGGTGCTGCACGGCAAGAGGAGATCATGGCCAGAGGCTTCACGGGCCTTTAGGCTAGTGGTGACCAGCACAGTGACGAGGTTATCCGGGATGCATGCATCCTTAGATTTCCTGTGTTGCTCTTGTCGGGGGGGGGGGGGGGGCTTCACACGTACGCCCCTCCTAAAACCTTAAACACACGAATCGAGAAGCGGACCAAGTCTAACCTAAACTCCCAAACTAAACACATAAGCCCTCAATCGCAGGTGCATGTCGTTGGCTTGGAGTATAATGACGAGCCCACATCCCCCGGGTCGCGATCTCGCTGCCGACGCCGGTACCTTTGAATGTAAAAAAGGTTTAGGGTTTGGGGTGGTCGGGCTTTTAGGTTCCAGGGTTGTCACATTGGGGGCTTAGGGCCGGGCACCAAGTCAAGTGTTCAAGGGCCAGGTGCAGACTTAGTTTTTTGGTTTTAGGCTAGGTGGCTGTGCCCTGAAGCTCTTAACCTGAAATCCCCAAGACCTTACACCCTACAGCCTCTAAACTTGAACATCTCCCCCCGACATTTAAACGGCTTCTGGCCAATGATATTCCATGAGTGATCTGGGGCTGAGACTGGATAGCTCACTTATGGCTCATCGAATGAGTCCTCAACGGTACTGCTGTTCGGTCACCACTAAAAACCCACACTCGGGACCCCAACATCAGGCTCTGCAGCTACAAGCGTGAAAGCATGAGCCCGGAATCATGAACCGCATGTCGCCCCCCAGACCCCCCTTTACCTCAAGAGTCTTACCGCTGGAGCTGGCACCAGATGCACGAGTCTTTCACAGCCAGTTCTGGGGTTAACTTCATGAGTCCTTTTGATGCTGGCGTTCTAAGGTTGATTGTGGTGTTCTCTTGATGGTGGATCTGGAATGGAATCTAGGGTCTTTGAGGCAGTACCCACAACATGATTAAGGGGTCATGTGGCCGCTGTCCTCATTTCACTCATTCACAGGGTCCAGACATCACGAGATCGCACTTATCAATAAGTTAGTTTAGCTTCATCTTGCAGGGGGCCCTTTTCACTATGACAAACTGAGTGTAATGCACGAACAGCTAAGTTGTGAAGGAACAGCAAGAATGTGAGTGATGTTTCTTGGAGGTTTTGTGGGGTCTGTCTCCACAACGGTCAGATAGGACGAAAACCCTCTTTGTTTTTTTTGCTGTATAGTTGCTCTCAGATTTCACTGAGACGCCCTCAACCCGAAACTCCTGATGCACTCTCGGCTGTCAGAGTCAGTGAAGGGATGCTGCGGCTTCGATTTACCTACTAACCTTGGTCTTACATACTGTTACCTAAGCATTTAGCGGCATGTTTACAGCACAGGGTGTTATATGTATCTAGACACAAATAAACAAAGTAAAAAAGAGCATAAATAGATAAAATAAATATACATCTGTATATATATATATATATGTATATACATATATATATATATAGTGTGTGCGTGTGTGCGTGTATGAAAGAAAAAATGTCTGTATAGATGTATGCAGTACGTCGCGTGCGTGCGTGCGTGCGTGCGTGCGTGCGTGCGTGCGTGCGTGCGTGCGTGAGTGCATGCGTGCGTGCGTGCGTGCGTGCGTGCGTGCGTGCGTGCGTGCGTGCGTGCGTGCGTGCGTGCGTGCGTGTGTGTGTGTGTGTGTGTGTGTGTGTGTGTGTGCGTGTTTCTCGCATAATAAGTAAGCATAGCAAGTTTCAGGCTTTATATGCACAATCTTTCGAACGTATGGAGCATGAGTTTAAGAAGCGAACTTCTTTGGCCCCTGAGGTATCAGGACTATTTGAATTCCCTGCGCTGGGACGATGTCTCCTGGAGTACCTTGTACAGCTTGCTCGGTGATCTTCCCGATGAAGCGCCCCTGGAGATGTTCCTGGGCGATAGTAATTTACAGGAGTCACGGTTCTAATTTGTTCAGTACTAGTCATTTTTTAAGTAGTGCACTTGCTTGGGGTCTTTGTATCTTCCCGTGTGCCATCATAAACCGGCTAGTTGTTGAGGATGTTCAGTTCGGCTACTCTCATGAGGAAGCCGTACCCATTACGATTGATGTGAAGCTCTACCTTTATCTTAGCAGCAATCCGGTAACACACAGATGCCCTTGAGGTTTCAGTCAGCTTGTAGTGACCAGCTGGACCTGTCCAGCGATGCCGGAACGCGCAGCTCCATGGAGATCTTCAACCGGCCACGGATAACTTCCTTGGCCACCGAGAGTGCTGCAGGAACCGAAGCTTGGCCGAGATCAGCGGCTTGAGAAGCCCTATTAAGTCCCAAAAGTATTCGCCTGGCGCATGGCATCCTGGTTGCTACAATCCCGCCCCCCCCCCCCCCCCCCCCCCCCCCCCCCCCCCCCCCCACCCACCCCCACCCACCCCCCCCCCAAGCTCTGCATGACCAGGAAGCTCCATGTGCCCGAATTAAGCTGAGCCCAGAAGCCAGCAAAAGCTCCAAGCCGAAAGCTGTGAAATCAGGACCCGGGCCAGGAGCCCCCCAGCCCGGTTGCAGTACCGGTGTGCGCACCCCAACTGAACCTCAAAGGCAGGGGAGCTGTGGCTGTCAAGGGGAGGGTGTTCTGGTAGGGCTTCAAAGTTGAGGAGGCCGAGCCTCAACTTTAACCCTGTAGAGCGCGGCTCGGCCTTAAGGTTCGTCCAGCCATGCGGACCCTAAACCCTAAACCCTAAACCCTAAACCCTAAACCCTAAACCCTAAACCCCCTGTTGTGGGCTTTTACAGGTTCTGGTGTGCACGACGGCGGAACTCTGAAACAAACCTTGACGCGCAACCCCAAGCCCTTACTGGCCCTGAATCCTGACTAAACCCAACTGGGGCACGAGAGGTGGCAAGAATCCTAAACGCGCCATCTGTGCAGGAGTCAAAAAACTCCTAAACCCCTAAACATCCCTAAACCCTAAAACCCCTAAGCCCCTAAACATCCCTAAACCCTAAACCCCTAAAACCCCTAAGCCCCTAAACATCCCTAAACCCTAAACCCCTAAGGCCTAAACCCTTCAAGACTTGGAAGCCCTGTCAGGGAGCAGCCTCATGGGCCGAAGAGGGCGGAACCTGACCCTGAGCACCGGAACGTAATATAGGGGGGTTTACGGAATTTGGGGTTTAGGGTTTAGGGTTTAGGGTTTAGGGTTTAGGGGTACCTTGTTGGGACCCTTATTACAAGGGAATCCTACAATTTAAATCCATATTTGGGATCCCTTTTTTTCGTAGGGTAAACGGGGTAGTTAGAGTAACGTAGGGAGGGGATTTCCCAGTCTTCATTTATACGGTCTTGGAGGGTTTAGGCACATCGGTTCGGGATTAGGGTTTTGTTGCTAACTCATTATAGGTTTGGGTGTTCCTTGAAAAATCATGACCGGCGCTACATACGCCAGGGAAGTGGTAGTAGGATGTAGTTGATTGTCCCAAAACCCGTCGGCAGGCTCTCTAGCAGGCACAATTGCTTGCAGAGCTCTTGCTGTTCCCCGAGGGTCCATGTACCTCATTCTCATATACTTGGGCCCCAAAGTCCCTATGTAGGAAGTACTTTAAGGCCCATTTAGGCACATGGACCCTCAGGGGTTTAACAGTTTAACGTAGGAGACGTCCACGTGGGTCAACAGAGACTCTGCAGTGGGCTGAGGCCAGCGCGTTTGGGTTTGAGTTTTGCCGCTGGCATCAATCAGGCTAAGCCTGTTGAATGATCGATTTCATGACTCAGAGGAACGGATCTGGGTTTAGGGTTATAGGGTGATTCAGGGTTTAGGGTGGGTGATTTAGGGTTTAGGGGGGCATGTATCCGCCACGCTGAGGTTACTACGACAAGCTCGAAGTGCAGTCTCTTATAGGATTCATCTAATAGTTTCTGAACCCTAATTAAGCCCGAAACCCTCAAGGTTCTGTAAGGGGAGTCTTGATGAAGATGGCCTTAGAGATGCAGAGTACGGTCATGGAGGGAGGGGTTTTGCAGGTTCGCCCATGTAAAAGCTTGTAGGTAATCCAGGGGCCTTAGTTTTTTTTTTTTTTGGGGGGGGGAGGGGGTTATTATGGTATAATCATAACCCTAAACCCTAGAACACTATAGCCCTGTTATATATAGTCATATGGCAGCTGCTGGGTCAGGCCTGTGCCAGTGCGAATTCTGCTGCTTCATGCTTGGTCTACTCACTTAAAACCCCAAGAACCCTAATATACGTGTCGGAATAACTACTGTATACATATATATATATATATTATTATGGGGTTATAGTGTTCTAGGGTTTAGGGTTGCAGGGTTAGCGGCTTAAACTCGCCCCATCGAACGCCGGTGCACAAGCTGGACACGCTCTGGGCTTCCCGATTTTTAGCTTTGACCTTTGTGGTACTTTACTATAGCTTTAGATCTTTAGCCTTTTTGGGTTTATTGGGTTTCTTAATAAGGCAGCGAAAAATTTAATTAATAGCTACCCTCCTAAGTGCAGCTAAGTGACGTTTGCAGGTTGCGACGTCCGCGTGGCTGAAGAAGCAGCTCGGCCGCAACCCGATGCGATGACCACAGTTATACTTGTTTCCGAGGCAAGCCCTGCAGAAACTATTCATTTTTGTCGTCAGAGCACTTTTTGGTAAGCGCGATCCTAGATTTCTATTTCGTGTTTACGGATGCTACCGAGTCCCTAAACCCTAAACCCTAAACCCTAAACCCTAAACCCTAAACCGTATGATCCTTTCATCTACGAAGGAGAAAGGGTGCAAGCCGCCGGGGCTTACTTGAGATCCCACGCAAGAGACAGGAATGCATGGATGCCATGTTTTGAGGTCCTTAAAGAGAGGGCGGTTGAGAGTAGTGAGGAGTATTCGGGAGCGCGGGTTACATCCCCGCCTTGGAACCCTTCTCACTTAAAAAGGCCCTATATAACCTGAATCTGCAAGTGCAGGTATGTTATGGATTTCATGCCGGACCCGTGCGGAGCTCAGCATTCGCTGCTGCGCACTTGGAGATTTGGGACTTGTGAAGCTCCTGGCAGCCGGCCAGCATATGGTTTCAAGTGCCTAGAGTTTGGTATTTAGGGTTTTTAAAAACCGCCAAGGCAGAAAGAATCATGATCCGGGGGTTTCGGCGTAAGGTTCCTACGGGTTATTTCGCGAAGAGTGTGACCCGAGCCGTGGCCATGCGGGGTACCGGCACTTGGGGATTATCGGGCCTACTTGGGGAGGTTCATTGGTACTTATAACCCCAGGTATAAGTCTACTTTTTCACCTATTTAGAGGACTTAGGGGACTTCTAGGTGCAGTTATAATCAGGGTGTAGAAGCACCCCTGGACCTCCAAGTACTAGCTGGTCTGCAGACTCTGTAGTGAGATTTGAAGTGCCAGACTCGGGGCTCCTACTCCAGGATTGGCGCCGCGAATGTGGCCGTGCTCAAGAGGCGAAAGAAGGAGACTGGTCTTGGAGTTGGACGGTTTTTTTTTTTTTCGGGAGGCGGTTGCTTCTCTGTTTTATGGTTTGGTGTGTGTGCGTGTGTGCGCGCGTGTATGGGTTCGCTTGTTTGCTGGTGTGATGTCCCTGGCTGCTGTCTCAACCGAGAAAAACATCTAGAACCTTGCGGTAGGCGGTACGGTAGTGAAGATATACAAAGATGCCCGTCTCTGCGCATCGGAGTTTAAAAAGTTTTCCGGTTTTCGTTGCAGCTTTTCCGATGTCCTGGACCCAGCACAGGTTCAAGAAATGCAGATCCAGCAGGATTATCTTCAGAAGTCAGCACAAAACCTAATCGACGGTAACGAGGAAAGAGGGAAGCACACGACTTTTCGACACTCCAGTGGAACTCGACCCAGACAGTATGTAAAACACTGCCGTTGTAAGCTCCGTCCTTGTTCTCCTCCAACCCTAAACTTAGGGAGCCCAATAGCCTTTTAGTCAGAGTATGTCGTTTTAGACCTTATACAACCTGCCTCACCCCTAAACCCTAAACCCTAGACCCTAAAGGGCAGGAGGCTCTCTGAAAGCATGCTCTTCAGGAGATGAAGATGATGCGGGGCGCCTCCCGGCAGCCTGCCGGTGTAGCCTCACGGCCACGTGCTGGATCGTAGGGTTTCGGGTTTAGGGTTTAGGGTTTTAGGGTTTTAGGGTTTAGGGTTTTAGGGTTTTAGGGTTTTAGGGTTTTAGGGTTTTAGGGTTTTAGGGTTTTAGGGTTTTAGGGTTTTAGGGTTCAGGGCTTTCGAGAGGGCTTCTAGGTCCCTTTTTCTGAAGGGTTTTTGGTTCCCTTACAAACCCTCTCAAACCAAAAAGGGTCCCCTTGATTGTCATTCCTAGGTGATTCCTGGGGTCTAGGTTTAGGGCTTCGGTTATCAGGGATTCTGAGCCGCACCATCTCCTAATCTCCGAGGGTAAAGGTCTTGAGGCGTTGGGATCCCCATGTGCCCGTGAGCCGGGAGTCTGTATGGGGGGGGTTGAAGGAGGGACCCCTAGAAGATCCTTAATCTTATTCCCCCATATAGCCCCTATATACTGTAAACCTTAGAAAGTCCCTAACAACCCAAGTAGCCCCTAAAGAACCCAAGGTCCCTTGTAAGGGTCCCTCCTTCAGTCCCTTCCTTGACTGTAAGAATATCAGGGACTAGAACACAACAACCCTTTACACCCCCCAACCCTTTCTCTCCTTTTTGTGGCGATGCCGGGTTCACTTCTAAGGACGCCTTACAGGGCTTTTCTTCATGCCAAATTCGGGACGTGGCCTTCATCTCATACGAATTTGGAGTGCGCAGGCTCTATGATTGAATCATAGGGTGCCAATACTCAGCTGGGCTGCTGGCGGCGTGCTGGCAAGGAGTTGCCTCCGTGTGTGAAAGGTGCCCGGATCATGTTTGCCCTGTTGATGTGGCACCAGAAGAAGCCGTACATCGGGAGTTTGAAGCGCCCCGAAAAGCAAGGAGGTTTAGGGACTTGGGGTGCAGTCCAAATGTCGGTGTCGGGTCGGTGCAGCCACTTAATTTCCTGAACCAGGCGAGCAAATTCTGTGAAAGAAGCCGGGTGCCTCCGCACAGCCTGATCTGCCGGCAGCTGCCCGGGCAAGCTTAAGATTCCTGACCTGCTGTGGCCCGCACCGAATGCTCTCCGAATGGGTCGAATCCGAAGCTAGTGTGGTGGGGTGAGAGACGCTTCCAACACTTGACATATATTCTAGGGCAGAGCCGTCATTATATGCAACTGCCTCTTAACTCTTAGACTGAGTCGACAATGAGAACGCAATGCAGCTGTAATCGTTGCAAAGCAGCCTATAGTGCACCTTGGTGAGCATGACGGTATCTCACAGCAGGCCTCCATGTATAAATAGAAGATTGTGCGTTCTGCGTTCGCGGGCGCGCGCCTGGAACTTAGTACTATAGGGGTCGGAATAATTACTAATAATATTCCCTATACAATAGCAACCCCCCCACCCCAAACAAAAAAAAAAAGTATATATATATATATATTCTCATGATTCAGGCCCTTATATTAGATCTTAAGTAGAAGGTGGCAGGTTGAGGTCTCTATCGTCTCTACCTTGAGCTTTGCAGTCGCCAAGGTAGTCAAAAAAAGACCTGGGACTCTATTTGCCTTAATTAGTAGGTATGACGCAGAAAACTGTAGGCAAAGAGGGTCCCAGGAATATCGGTTGGCCGTAACAAATAATAAGTTCGCATAGAGCTAACCTGCAGGGTTCCGGCATGAGCCCGAAGAGGAGAGCTTTGTGGGGTTCCCTGAACCCTAAACCCTATGAGCCCTATAAACCCTATAAACCCTATAAACCCTAAATCCCCTACACCATCCCAAACCCTTCTGTTCTTGCTGGGCCGTGTTGTGGCAGTAACATGAAAGGATGTGGAAACCGTTTAAAGCAGAACCCATCGGCTATGGGGGCTTGTATTGGGTTGATGGTCGGGCGCTCAAATTTGTAGGACATCCCCGACGCATGCATGGATGTAGGCCGGTCTTCTTTGTGACTTCAGCAGTATGCCGGCTGATTTCGCGTGTCCTGGGCGATCAGGGAGTGTTGCCGTTCGTGCATCGACCAGCAAAATGCCGGGCTTCCGCAAGCTTTACAGGGTGGAACCTTGAAGCCGTATATGCTAGCTTG